GAGCACAATGGTGTGAACCAAACAGGTTTTACTCTGATGAAAATCACTGTAATATTTCTACAGAGAAGCAGAGAATAGTGCTCCTGGTAATCAATGATGAGTTCATTGTGAACATCTCTAGTCTATGATGTCTCTACCGTATAAAACAGACATTTGTCTAGGTGTCATTGCCTTTTAAAAATGTAGGCTACTGCAGGCATTAGGCTATGTTGCATCTGGTTCTGTGGTAAGTGATCAAAATGCTTAACAACATGCATTTTATAAACAAAAATATTATAACTATACGAGGTAACGTTACAGTAATACACCTACCTGTCCCGTATGCTTTGGCTACCAGCCATGTGAGGCTGCAACAGATTTTGGCTCGGGGGAAGTCATAGTGCTCAAAAGACTTTATTGCTGGAGCAACGAAGGTCTTCTTAACATCCCTGACGTCCTGAACTTCACCCATATTTCTCCCTGAATCGTGTTCTTGAACCCTATGAAGCAACACAACGCGAAAGCATCCCACTACTGGAATTTCGTGGGAAAACAATAAAGGGTTGTAAAATAACGAGATGCGGCGTCTTTCCAGAGACTATTCACGGGTTCTTTCAGTCATAAAATGTTGGGCTGGCTGCGGTATATCGTCTTATATAGTCTCGTTGACACAATGAGTCGCTAGTCTTGGTGCTTTGCATCCATTCTGCTGTCTACCAGTTGAAATGGGCTTCGTCGGACCAAGCTGGGAAGGTTCCCTTGGATTTCAGAGGAAAAACTGCTCTTGAGCTGTAGTGAAGACAGAAATATATCCATTCTTTCTGTTCTTTGGAAGCAGAAGACTTCTCCCTTCCATGTCCATGTATTCATGTATGGATAATGGATATGTTTAGCATTCCCTTCTCTATTCAATCTCTTGGTGCGGTTTTCCTGCCGCACTGTGCCTCTCCGAGCCCTGCACCTTTGTTTCGCAATGCGCATGCGCGGGTGGCACATTCAAATGCTGTCGGTAATGTTAACACTTTTGTTTGAAGGTACGTTGTTTGGCCCTGTATTGTGTATCTCTGTTACATGATGGTACATATAGGCCTACTTGTGACATATTTACCTCACGTAGGCCTATACCACATGAATGCACTGCACAGCTTGGTTTTAATGTTTGAGTTTTCGATGTGCATTTGAATACATGAAAAAGGGGCAGCCTGCATGCATTTAGCGAGAAAACAAAAAGCTGTCTTTTAATTAGCTACATTTATCCAGCCAAAGACCAGACAACGTAACTTCACCTATTCCAACAGTTTAATTGCCTTGTAGGCTGCTCTGTTCAGATATCCAGCCACACCCAAACCCACAATAAAAATCACTGCAATTTATTTAAAGCTAAAAGGTGTTATACAATCTATGGTACCGCAACGTTACCGACCTGTAACGTTACTTATTCCAGTAGTTTAATTAGCCTACCCTGTAGGCTGCCCCGTTCAGTTCTCCAGCCACACCCAAACCCACAACGTAAAACAATGTAACATAGTAATTTCTAAGGCTAAAATGTAATCTTTGTTTCTCTCTTATTTTTTTTCAGATTCAGTCAAAAAACGCCAATGATCACACTTGGCATGGCAGAAAATCGCTGCTCTACGAACCACATTTCCCGACGTGCAAAGCAACATTACGTCATTAGCATGCGTCGGCGATTGTTGTGAACTGTTGGAAGAATACGCGAGAAGGTATGTGGGATGATATTACTTTATGTGAAACATGCATCTAAGATAACGTTACTTCTCGGCATTTACGAGTAATTTATGTCCGAACTGTGGTTTGAAAAGAGATGTACTCTAAAATGCAAAAGCAAAAATTGTAATTTCGCTGTACGAAAATGGTGTGGTTTAACGTTACAGAAAGAATACGTAAAGTTAGTTATTTACTAAAGGCTCAACCTCGAGTTTCCACCATCAGGATAAGTTGCTATTATCATTAAAACGATGACCCCTAAATCCTTGACATCAATTAAATGCTTAAATTTGTTTTTCTTATGTTCACAGGTTAAACAGTCCACAAAAATGTTTATGCCTAGAGCCCTGAAAGTGAAGAGACCTGCACAAGGTTCAGGGCAAGTTTTGAATAAGAAAAGCAAGGTCGCTCAGGAGGAGAGAAAAGATGAAGTTAGTTCAGAGACACCTGTTCAGAAAGAGGATACATGTGAAGACACCGAAACACAGGAGGAGACAATACAAGCAGGCGCAGACTCTGCGGGTTTGACAGAGAGCTCAGTGAGTGAAGAAGGACATAAGTCTGCCCCAAGTGATACGGAGGAGGAGGAAGAGGAGGAACCTGTCAAGTCATTCAAAAAGAGCCAGAGATGGCCAGAGCCAGGCGAGCCTGTCTGTGTGATGTGTGGTCGCTATGGGGAGTACATTTGTGACAGCACCGACAATGATGTTTGCAGTCTTGAGTGCAAAGCCAAACATTTAGCCCAAATGGGGATGGGGACTGGGGTGGATGTGTTTAACCGGAAGGACAAAAATGGAGATGAAAGGACTCCACCTCAACAGCCAGCAGTTGACACTGGTGGAGTGGGGGAAAGTGAGGCAGGCTATTCCTACAGGGAAGATCGGTTCATATCAGGCCTAACAGAGGAGCAGGTGCAGCGGATTAAACAGGAGCTGGGCATTGAAACCCAGGGGAGCAATGTCAGGAGACCCATCCTTGAGTTTGAACACTGTGGCTTTCCTGCCACGCTGAGTGGCAACCTGAAAAAGGCTGGCTATGAGGCACCCACACCGGTCCAGATGCAGATGGTGCCTGTTGGTCTCAGCGGCAGGGATGTGATTGCCAGTGCAGACACAGGCTCAGGGAAGACTGTAGCCTTCTTGCTTCCAGTGGTAGTGAGGGCACTGGAGGTACAGTAACATGGCTAACTTTGGATTAATTCATTTTAGTGTATTTAAATTCACACCATGAAACTGCTTACAGTATTCACACCCAGAGAAAGATCCTTTTAATATAAACCTCCATAGGAACTGTAATGTATAGGAAATGTGATCTAGTGGGGGAAAAAAATACAAACACCAGCAACCTGAAGTCCTCCTGTTTTATATTAAAAGCATGATTTCTCCTTCACACATCTGCTGATTGTAAAGTTAAAGGTGTGTGTGACACAATATATAAGGTACAGTATATGTTGGTCATCACCTAACCTTAAGCCAGTTTGAATTAATGTATTTATACAACTTGTAAAAGAGGTAGACATTATAAATAAAAGAAGAGCTGTTTTTATCAATAAAACACCTGGAGATGAGTTTTAATGCTTAGCGTTTCATAAAGTGCTTTTCGTTGCACGGCACACTTCTGTCCTGTTGCTGGACAATTTCAGGAGGACAGATTTGTGAAAAGGGTCAGGCTTTAGCACCATTTGAGCCTCAAAATAATGTTAAACAGCAGCAGTGAATAAGGAGAGACATTTTATCTGTGTCGATGACCTCATGTTTTTGGCGGAAAGGTTAAATTAAACTTTAAACTAAGGGAAACATCCATTGGAGCACATGTTCTACCTATATTGAGAGCTGTGTTGTAAGTTAACCAATGTTCTTACAATGTCAAGCTTTTTTTGTCCTCTTCATCTTTTAGTTTGTTCTTGAGCAAAAACAAAAGGAGCCTACAAAATTTACTTGCATGTTAAACAGGTAAACTCAACAGAAAAGATTAAGACTTGCTTTTGCCCTGCTGAGGTAATGAACAAAGAAGCTGCCCTGTAGCTGGCCATGATCTCCCTGTGCCCTTGTTCTCAAGGGGAACAACTTTAATATAACAAAATATATTCTTTGTAGTATTTAACTATTCACATCTATTAACATCTCTAGAAGACATAAACTCTATAACATTGCTTCATCTAATGGCTTTCTGGCCTTGCATATGTACTGAGATGTTTTCATGTGTTTTTAGAAAGCCACACACGGTGCGGGTAGCCCGGTGGCTCTCATCCTGACCCCCACCAGGGAGCTGGCCATTCAGATAGAGAGACAGGCCAAGGAGCTGGTGATGGGCCTCCCCAACATGAGAACCGCGTTGCTGGTGGGCGGTATGCCGCTTCCCCCACAACTCCACCGCCTGAAAAGCAGCATTAAAGTACAGTCTCTGTTTTTACAGTCATTTCCTCCTCCCCCAGTCAAAACATTGTTCTTTTTAGTCTTATACTTTATACATCATGTTCTTCTGTTAATCCTCTTTAGATAATCATTGCCACCCCTGGGCGACTCATTGAGATCTTGAAGCAGAAGGCAGTGCAGCTGGACAAGGTGAAGGTTGTGGTGGTTGATGAGGTATGAAAAACACAACTGCAAAGCACATAAAGGGATTCCAACAATGAAAAAACTTGGATTTTGAGAACCAAAAGGGCTTGAAGGGTTGAATAAATGCATTATAAGTCCCTGAACTTGAATTTTTTGGATCAAATCAAAATGTAGCTAACAAAGAAAGTTATGTTTCAGCTCTTTAAAGTTCTCTGCATCCAGGGATTAATGCTTAACATCCACCAGAAAACCTTCTGATGAGCAATGGGGATTTCATGATAGCTAGTTTTGATGAAATTCATGCCTAAACCATGCTGTAAAATTGAGGATTTCACCAAACAATGTAATAATAGTAGTTGATAATGTACGTGTGTTCAAGTATTCAATAACCTGCTGTGTAATGTGTAGTAATCATACAGTGTTGAAATGGAGTAAGTCCTTAAACCCTACAGTATGTATTTGCGGTGCATCCTGTAGGTCGACACTATGTTGAAGATGGGCTTCCAGCAGCAAGTGCTGGAGCTTTTGGAGCAAGTCCCAGAAGAACACCAGACTCTGCTGGCGTCGGCCACCATCCCAGCGGGGACGGAGGAGCTGGCTGGCCGGTTGGTTCGCGACCCTGTCCGCATTGCCATCGGAGAGAAGAACCAGCCCTGCGCAAACGTGAGGCAGATCCTGCTATGGATAGAGGAACCCTCCAAGAAGAAAAAGCTGTTTGAGATTCTCAATGTAAGTTGGAGGTTTTGATCTTTAACAGTGACAGAGAGGTTTGTTTAAAGAGCATAGACTTGCTGACTCCTTTTGGTCAGCAAGTGTGGTTCTCACAAGATTTAAAGATTTTGGGTGGAGGATAAGTTCACTCCCACTGCTATTATAGGAATTCTTAACATGGTCAGCAGTTTTTTTTAAGTTTTTGTTTAAGACCAGGTCTAATTGTACTCTGGACAACCACAAAGCGCTTTGGCAGGAACAAACACAGAAAGCGAGTTAATATCTCAGTTTTAGTTTATAGTGGATATACGCACTGGTACCAGCTTGGTATTTTGTTAACTGGCTGTTTAAAGGTGGTCATTCCTTAAGCACCAAGGACCAGTCTTCCCACTACACCATATTTAGACAGCCATCGCTGTAGCCCAGGCCCCCGTCTGGAGGAAATGGGTGGGCCCTGAGCCATGGCTCCACTCCAGGAATCCCAGCAATGGCTTGCACCATTTATACAAGGCAGGGCAGGAAGGATCTGCTTTAGTTAACCCGGTGAAGAAGTGTTGTAAGACCATTGTGTGAGTATCTACTTCTCTTTATAGAAGGTGGTTGTGATGACAGATCTTTTTTTAAGCTAAGTTATTCATGACTACTGTTATTTAATGCCGCTCAGAGTAGGATACTGTCTCTCAACAGGGAAAAGTGATGGGTCTTGCAGGAGTACTGTGGAATTTGACATCTTTTACAGTGGGATTTGGACGGGACACCTAAGAAAACCAAAACTTTGGAGTGGACATGACTCGGAAATCACCTGAAACAGTCCTTTCATATGTTGCAGCTCTTGCAGCATTGCCCATGAAAATTTGCTCCAACTAAAGTCATCAGAAAATCATAGCATGTTCTCACAAATTGGAGCTAGAACAATAGACATGGAGGTGGCAAAAGCACATATCACTTTACCTATACTGCTGCTCTAGTCAGAAACATAACAACAATTTGGATTTGAGAATAAAAGTAGAGACATAAACAGCCTACTTTCAGAAATATTTATTTAGGCCATGTAAAGCTGTCCTCGGCCTGTCCAGGGACGGATGGTAAGAAATGAACTGGGACCAGGAGGGTGACATTTTCACTCATCAGTTAGAGCACACATTGGCGCTTAACCTCAGCTTCTGTTGCATCTACTGGTAGACACTTTTAGTTGCAAATATAGCCAAATAGGTGAATGTGAGCTTTTTTAAGCATGTCAGCCTTAACGTGTGTCGCTGGCTGGAGAATCATGACTGCAATCTGCTGGAGGACTTTTTGTTCTTGTTTTACTTTAACTGCAGTTTGATAACATAATAATTATTCGAAGTTTAAAACTCATAGTCTACTTGCATAGTAACTCAGTCTGTATATAGAGATACTGAAATATCTGTATGTTTCCCTTGGGGCTTTTTCAGGACAGTAAGCTGTATCAGCCTCCAGTGGTGGTGTTTGTAGACTGTAAACTGGGGGCTGATCTGCTGTGCGAGGCGGTCGCCAAGGTGACAGACCTGAAAACTGTGGCGATCCACTCTGACAAGAACCAGTGGGAACGCAACCGCATCCTCAGGGTGAGTCCAGTGGCAGCCAGAACATACACAGTCAAGAGAATACATAGCAGGTCTCCCATGTTTGGTGTCCAAGAGACCACACACACACACACCCACACACACACCAAGAGCTGAGACTTAACTGTTATTGTCAGTATAATGGATTTAGAAGCATGCTGTCAAAACCTACCAAAAAGCCAAAAGAAAAGAGAAGAAGCATAATGATCAAGATTTAATTTGGATGGATTTGGAAGTCTTGGTTTTCCTCTTAATCTCAGAATTTTAATCTTTGAATTTAGATGGAACAAAAAAGGTTTACTGCATGGAAATATTGCTTATATGTTGTCTTTTTTGGTTCCAACATGTCATTGAAGCTATTTATACATTTATTTATACTACATTTCTGGGGTTTAATTGTTTATAAAGACAGACCAACCGTTACATGAGCAGGGTTCAGCAGCATAAATATTGTTTTCCTAAATACACTGATGTTTACGTCACATTTCACCCACCTAGTTCCACAAAATCAAGTTGCATATTGGTGAAAATTAGGTCATTCACAACATTAGCAGTCCAGGTACGGTTCTGACAGTTCTAAACATGTCTGACTGTAATATTTGCTCTGTTATGTCCTCAGGGTCTTCTGGATGGAGACTTTGAAGTGGTGATCAGTACAGGTGTGCTAGGCAGAGGGCTGGACCTAGTCAACGTCAGATTGGTGGTTAACTTTGACATGCCAAACACAATGGATGAATATGTCCATCAGGTTAGTAATACCCAGAGTAGAAAAGCGGTGAATTTCAACTTCAGAGTGTATGTGTGTCTTTTTGGTTTGTTTTTTAAACTTTGTTGGCACTTTCCAAAAATGAAGCTTCATTAATTATTATATTAAATGAGCAATAGTTAGTTATGGTAATCCCATTTTGCAACCTCAAGTAAATATCTGATACTTTGTCAATCACAGGGAATTCACTGTATACAAATAGTTAGTTTTAAAGAAGGCAAATGATTATATTTTCCCCTTTGTTTCTTCCCATCCAGGTGGGCAGGGCGGGGCGGCTGGGACACAGAGGAACAGCCATCACCTTTCTCAACAACAACAACAAGCGGCTGTTCTTGGAGGTGGTGAACCGGGTCAAACCCACAGGGTCCATCCTGCCCCCTCAGCTCCTCAACTCACCCCACCTCCATGAGCAGCAGAGGAGGGAAAGACAGAAAGCCAAGGTGGAAGCTGATGATGTTCTAGTCACTAAAACCAATCTGCTGGACATCATCAGGAAACACGACCGTCGCAAAAAGTAGCATGTTCTCCCAAACATTGCCCGTAATGGTGTTGTCTATTTATTAAGTTAATGTTTAGTTTGTATATTGTTTTATTGAAACATTAAATGCACTTTTTATGTATCCTGAATAAATGTGTTTTATTAATGTAAGGCCATTCATTCAAATAGATCAATTATCTTCTTGAATCTACAGACTTCAACCCAGGTCCTGAGGGACAGTCTTTCTTGCCACTGCTGTGGTGTACTTGTGGTGTCATTACTGAAGACTGAAGTCCAGTAAAAATAATACTGCTTTAAATTCTATTATTGACTTGATTGAAGTTTTTGCAGGTTTTAAGCAGGTCTTAATATCAAAAGATTTCAACTCTGTGGTTCTAGGTCAGGCCTAATGTTGATACCCCAAAAGTAACTTAGCCAATCATCCTACCTCATGTACTGTAGTTGACCATGATCTTTAGGTTCAAGATCAGCTTTGCCCCTTGGGGGTAGTTCAAAGAAGTTTCATCACATACTGTATAAAGTCAAACCCACCTGTGATGCTATTATTTTTTCCAACTCAAGACCAATATTGAGCATAACAGTTAATTCTTCCCAAAAAAACATAACCTAAAGGTCCACTTACTGTCTTTCACTGCAACTGCATCAACCTCCTCAACTGATGCCATATTTTGTGGCACAATTTGGATACAACCTTAGAGCTGGTTATAGTATGTAAGATAACCTTGATTATACTGCCACCTGGCGTCCCTCTCAGATATCTACATGTCCAGTCCATGCTATGACGTAACCATTCCCGAGAATTCAGCCAATCAGCTATCACTGGGGAAGACCGTTTGAAATTGAAGCGGGTGAAGGCGGAAGAGACAAGAAGACAATAATAAACAAAGGCAACTCTGTTCGCTTGGATACAACTTGTATTTTATTCGAATGGATTTATACTTACTTTTAACTAACATACAGACTAACGTTACTACTGGCGTCCATCGTAACTATTTGTCGGTTATTGTAGGTGACGGTAGACCAACCAGAGTAAAGTTGCCGTTTGCTAGCTAACCCCGTGAGCTGATTTTAAGGTTTTTATTTTTAGCAACCGAGAGCCATGTCGTTATTCAGTGTACAAGCGAGGAAGCATACAGCTTATTATGACCATCTAATGTCAACATCAACATCCAGGACACCGGGCAGAGAGCGCCTGGCGGACCGAAAAGTGACAGAGGGTGCGCTGTGCAAAAGTGAGAGAACATCCGGAGAGTCTGGAAGTGAAGACAGCAGGTCATCTAATAAAAGCCGACAGGTAAACAGGACGTATGTCCTCTCTGCGCTGTCAAAAAGCGGCAACGGGCCGCAGACACCTTACCGTGGCCGACTCACTCTGCAGAGGAGGTCAAGGAGGAAGACCGGGTCTGAAACAGCGGAGAAAACCATGTCTGAAAGCAGCCAGAACACTACACCAGCTCCGGAGAAGAGACTGACCCTGCAGCGCCGTACCAGAACTCCCTCAATGGATAAAAGCGCACACGGGGAGCTACAGGCCAGTGCCGCTGGGGTCAGTGCCGCTGGGCTCAGTGCCACTAGCCTGCAGCCAACGCCGAAAGTTCTTAGTGATCCAAACGGTAGGGCACCTGGGTTATTCAGGTCTACTAGTTTACGTGACACTGCTGCTCATGTGGAAAACCAGAGGAGGCCGGCGTGCATCAAGACGCCCTCTTCTTCCTCCACAAGCAGGCACGTAGAGGACCAGGGCCAAACCTTTAAAACCCCCACCAAAAAGACGCCGTTTGAGAAAGTCGCAGCCAAGAGAGACGTGTTCGAGAGACTGGCGGGGAAAGAAGCACCCAAATTAGCTATTGCAGTCAAATCTGCTAGTCTGGAGAGGCCCAAATCCCGAGCACAGCGAGCGGAGGACACAAAACCTGTCCCAGCTCCCCGGGCCAGCAAGGAGTCCGCAGGTGTTCACAGACCAAACGCCGCGCTGCAGGTGAGGAAGACATCCACCTCAAGCCAAAAGGGAGACGTGACCCAGGCCAGGACCTCCACTCCAGCTCCAACACCTACTGAGCAGTCCCTGTCTCGCCCCTGTGAGGCTCTGAAGCAGCAGGATTTATTTAAGATGGAAAACAGCGCAGTGACTGTTGCAGTCCGTGTCCGCCCTTTCAACGCCAGGTTTGTGATGCAATTTTTGCCTTAACTGATGGGTAAAATGATGTCTGGGTCTCCAAAGGTACTGCTGAGCCATCTGACTGTCATCTGCCTCATTCACACAAATCAGTGGGCTAACGTTATACAAATGATAAACCAATGTGTAGTTTAATCATATCCTATTCTTTCATTTGACTGTAAGCATTACAATAAAGTGTATCTTGGACATGCTAAGATGATGGCATTTCCCCCCTATTTCCTTGAAATTTTGATGATTCATCAGTACAATTATCTGCAGATGAATCAATAATGCAAGTAATCTTTAGTTGCAGGCTGTGGGAATTCTTGAAAATGACCACCAAGCTACAAACAATGTTCAGTGTTTTTAGGTTATGCAAGTGCTCATTTACAGTCAGACACAAAAGCCATTTCTGAAATAATGTTTCTACATATGTCTGCTCTGTTACAGGGAGAAGGCAGAGAAGGCATTGCAGGTCATCTTCATGAATGGCCAGGAGACTGTTGTCCAGCACCCAGACTCCAAACAGAGCTACTCCTTCACCTATGACTTCTCCCTCTGCTCGGTGGACGAGTGTGACCCTGCCTTTGCCAGCCAGCAGATGGTGTATGAGATGCTGGCAAAGCCTCTGCTGCTGAGGGCCTTTGAAGGATTTAACACATGCCTGTTTGCTTACGGCCAAACAGGCTCTGGGAAGTCCTACACGTGTGTATTTGTTTTTTGTTTTGTTTAGATTTTAGATTATTACCCCTTGTACCACTGGAATTTTCCCCCTCTGCTCTCTCCATTTTTTGCTCTAAAAAAACATACTATGTGTAAAATGTGCATATTGGGATGTGCATTTTAAATCATGACCAATCAACTGCAGTTTGAAATGTTTGAAATCTTTGTTGTTTAGGATGATGGGCTTTGGAGAAGAGGAAGGGGTAATCCCCCGATTCTGCCAAGAGATTTTTTCTAAATTAGCATCCATGGAAAATGAAGAGGTAAAATCTCTTACAAAGGTGTATTCCTGGTTGAACGTTTCTCATGTTATTTTACTCCTTTTTTTTGTTAATCAATATAAAATGTCTTAAGCCTGTAGTTTCCCTCCAAAATTAAAAGGCTTGAATGTGCACATGAGCAATCTATTTTTCTGGTTATATCTTTGGATTTGTTATATTTCAGGTCAAATGTCATGTAGAGATGAGCTACTTTGAGGTGTACAATGAGAAGATCCATGATCTGCTGGTGACTAGAGATGAGCCAAATCAGAGGAGGACGCCAGTAAGTAGTTTGCAACCGACTGAAATACATTCCAGAAACCAGGAACCCTTGTTAGGTGTTTTGTTTTTTGGAAAACTGTATTGTTCTTTTAGTGAATTTGGCTGCTGCATTTTCGCATAAACCAGTTTCCAGAGAGTTTCTTTTGAATGGCTATCCGATAATGCGTAACATGATCTGATGATCGCACATTTTAGAGAGGCACTCTTGCTCATAATGGCTTAGAGCTGAATAACCTAAGAATATGTACAGTCAAGATAAGAAAATCCCTCTGATTTGTGTTTCCAGCTGAGGGTGAGGGAGCATCCAGTCCATGGTCCCTATGTGGCAGACCTTTCTTTGTAAGAAAGCTTTTATTTTCTTTTGCTAGATTACTCTTCAACAAAGGCCAAAGGAGCACTCTTGAATGGTCTGATTTGCAGAATTGCTCACTCTTTTATTTCTTCACAGGAATATCGTGAGCTCTTACAATGACATTCAGGTAGGTTGAAAGATATTTTCTTTTTTTTCAGATCATCGAGGCCACAATGAAATACAAACATCAATGTCTGAATGAATATTACTATCTTAAAAGTGTGGTACAGGCACACCATGGAGAGAATTACTGAATAATCATAATTCACTCTGTCCTTCTTTAGGGTTGGCTGAAGCTGGGCAACAAGCAGAGAGCCACAGCAGCTACAGGAATGAATGACAAGAGCTCCAGATCTCACTCTGTCTTCACCCTGGTTATGACCCAGACTCAGGTATGTCCTTTCACCTTCACCCCAAAACAAACACAAAATGTCGTCACCTAATAAATTCTTAAATATTAATTTAAACAAAACTTGAGCTACAAGATAAATTTGCATTTTGCAAGAATTTAATAATGTGGAGAGTGTTTAAGTTAATTTTGCATGTACACAGTAAGACACTTGGAAGGTCCTGTGTGTTTAAGGTCAATGTAACACAATTAATTGGTTTTTGTGTGTGTGCCTACAGACTGAGTTTGTGGAGGGCGAGGAACACGATCACAGTATCACCAGCAGGATCAACCTGGTGGACCTGGCAGGCAGTGAACGCTGTAACTCGGCTCAGACAAGTGGAGACAGGCTCAGGGTATACACACATACGCTTATGCACACACACCATGTTGAAATTTTGAATTTCTCTACTTCATGTAATTGTTTATTAAATTTTAATTTTTTCAGATAGTATAATTACATTCCAAATGATAAATATATATTTGCTCATAAGTCATTTGTTATAATGCTTCACTTTGGGTCCTGCAATTTATGATGGCCATTTTGAAACCTGAAACAATAACTTTAAAAAATTGGCTACATCAATCAATAACAATCAATGACTCATTAATTATATCCTCAATTGATTCTAAGACTGATGTTTCAAAAAGATATGGTTGTATTCAGAACCATTTGCTCATTATATTTGGCAGAGGATGCTTTTTGTATTTGCATAAAACAGCATGTGCTTACTCAAAAAAAAAAAAAAGGCCAATTTTACTGTGTCATTACAGGAAGGTGCTAGCATCAACAAATCCCTGCTCACCCTTGGGAAGGTCATCTCTGCCCTGTCAGAACAGGCACTGACCAGAAAGAAGGTCTTCACACCGTACAGAGAGTCTGTCCTGACATGGTGAGAGATCAGATTGCATGTACGCTGTAGCTGTTGTAGAACACAATGTTTTATTTTTGGAAGCTCTATTGGAGAAATGGAAAATAGAATACATTAGGGATGAATTGGTTTATATATGAAACTGAAAACACAATCTTGTCAAAATCCGACAGACCTCCATTTTAAATTTTGAAGGATGATCCTGACAAAGTCCCAATTCTCTTTTTCTTCTTCCGCAGGCTGTTGAAAGAGAGCCTCGGTGGTAACTCCAAGACGGCCATGATCGCCACACTGAGTCCTGCGGGCAGCAACGTGGAGGAAAGCCTAAGCACTCTGCGCTACGCCCAGCAGGCCCGCACCATCATTAACATAGCAAAGGTCAATGAAGACACCAGTGCCAAGCTCATCAGAGGTGAGACACTCAAAATATCCACATTCAAAAATCTCTGTTGGAGTTAACTGAGCTCTGGCCTGTTTTTATTGTGTTGTAACTGTAATACGCTTTTTAAACCTTTTTATAGCTTTCTTACCGTGCACTTATTGTGGAGTTGCTAGTTGTGAGGTACATGTTGCCGACGTGAGTCCTTGGCCACCACGGAGTGTATGAAAAATAAAAAGGGATTTTTTTTTATGTGTCATCAACTAAGGGGAAAGTGGAGCAAACACTGTCTTCATCTTGGAGAGAGATTTTTCACTGCACTCATGCATATACACCTTATAGCAGGACGTTATGTTCTTTGTGAACCTGAACGTCTGCCATCCTACACAAACTGCATCACACCTGTATGACCTTATTCCAGAGGAAAACCAAAGATTGCTTTTCTATACCGAGCAGTGTTGTTACCTTGGCATCACAGATGTGGACAGCATTTGTTCACTGTGTAAGAGCCTCCAAAGCACAAAATCCAGTTTTGAAGCAATAGAGCACATTTCTCAACAGTCCCTCTATCCTCAATAGCACACACACACACTCATTTGAACTGTTATTCAATCTGTCTTGGTTGTCTGTGCGTCCATTAGCTCCATCTTCATCTGCCTCTCGTTGCATCACTTTCACTGTCTGTGTTTCTCTTTTGTTGTGAATGTCTTCTCTTTCCATTTGTGTCTCGCTCTTGATCTCCTTCACTCTCCGTCTCTCCCACGTACCCTCCTGTCTGCCCATCTATCCATCACCAGCTTATTCACTACCCGGTTCAATTAAGGTCTGGCCCTAACCTTGCCTCCAGGCCATATTTATGCACTGTCAGCTGCACATGGCGGCTAACTGTCATCCAAGTATTATTTTTCATAAGATGATCACGCTGCTGTTTGATGTTTTTAGCAGTGAGGGGAGCTCTTGCTGTGGATTTCTCTCACACCACCTGTCAGTGTGTGATATGACTCAAACATTACAAATCAGGTCAATGTTCCTCAGTATTGTCTTCAATGAGTATCATTGTTGAGCAGTTCGCTGACAAAATCCGAATATCTCTGTGGACTCTGTTAAAGTCATGTCTTAAAATAGACTTTCAGGACTTTAATGGAACTCCCTGCAAATTCATATTTACTGGTATTTATTTAAGTGTATATTTGGTCTAAACTGCTATATACAGTATATTTAACCTTTTTATAAAGCATTGTTGGCAAACTGTTGTTGTTGTTGTTGTTGTTTACTTTATTTATACCCGTAGGTAAATTTGTTTTACAGTGCAATGACATTCTATGGCATCCAGTACAAAAAACAACACACAACACAGAACATCACACTACACATAAGGACAGATAAAATACCTGTGTGTGTGTGTGTGTGTGTGTGTGTGTTTGTGTTTGTGTTTTCAGAATTGAAGGCTGAGGTGGAGAAGCTGCGAGCAGCACAGATGAGCTCCCAGGGCGTGGAACCAGAGAGGGTCAGGCTGTTTCAGCAGGAGATCGCTGCCTTGAAGAACACACTCTGTCAGCAAGAGAGGGAAATGGTTGAGGCCAACCGGTCAGTGTTACTGCAATAACTATCTTCGACTCATGCCTTTAGTAATAATGTAACTGTGTGTGTGTGTGTGTGTGTGTGTGTCTGTATGTATGTAAAAATAAAATCATGATGAATACGCAAACATTTTGCAACACTGTTGTCCTCTCTTTATAAAGTTCAGTAGGTGAGAAGGTTTATAAGTGGTTGAGAAGGGGATACATCAGAGATCATCATGGCAAAATTTGATCTGAGGAGACATTTTTTGTTATATTTGATCTTATTTTCTGGCAGGGCATGGAGAGAGAAACTGGAGCAAGCTGAAATCCGCAAACGTGAAGAGACCAAAGAGTTGCAGGTAATTTCTTTGAGCATAACATTAATTTCCATTGTGTATATTTATTTTTTACTATCAAGGCTGTCGTCCACTGTGTCCAACAGTACAATAATCTCTTCACCACGCTGATCCTAAAGCTGATGATACATGGGGCAACTTTTTGAGCAATGTTGCTGGGCAATCTGATAGCGGCGGGGCGGGACGGGTGGCGGAGTGGTGGGGGAAGGGGATTACGGTGGTAATCTTTACTCATTACCGTTGATGGCAACATTGCCCAGCACCATTGCTCTAAAAATTGCTCCATGTATCATCAGCTTAAAAGGTCTAACTAACAAGACCTGAAACAAGCTGTAATACATATTGTTGTGGACACAGACTATTAATAACATATTTGGAAACTTTCTCTGAGTTTTCAGAAAGCAGGTGTGACATTCAAAGTGGACAATCGTCTTCCTAACCTGGTGAACCTGAACGAGGATCCTCAGCTCTCGGAGATGCTTCTCTACATGATCAAAGAGGGTCGAACCACAGTGGGCAAGCTCAAGTCTGAGTCCAGCCATGACATCCAGCTGACAGGAGCTCTCATTGCTGACCAACACTGGTAAAAACAAACCACAGGTGTGGTTTGAAAATGCTTGTGGCAGGAGCGATTGAACTTTAAATAAACAATATGTAGTCTGTTTTGCCATCTTGTACGCGTGCTTATTCAACAGAGGTGTGCCACTGCAGTGAAATGTAATTTTAATATTTAGGCTGGCTTTGACATTTAGTTTATTAAACTTGATTATTGTTAATGATTTGAGGAACATTTTTAAATGCTTTTCTGATCTAGCCATCTTTGTAATCTAAAAATGATCTATTTTCTTTTTTTAGCTATAGCCGGCATTTAACATGAGAAATATCTGTATCTGCATTTTTTTTGGTTTGTTTTAGTGTTATAACCAACATCCAGGGTACTGTCAGCATCACTCCCATGGAAAACGCCAAAACCTTTGTTAATGGAAACCTCACATCTGAATCCACTGTCCTACACCATGTGAGTAAACCAGAAAGATCCTCTAACCCATCTGATGTTTAGCATTATACTAACTAAGTAACTTATAGCAAGATTTGTTCTAAATTAAACATGCCCAACCTGTTTATCCATTTTTAGGGCATGAATGAAGGTCAGGCATGCTAAAAGGTCCAGCCCAATCCATTTTATTAATGAATTTAAGTCTTCTCGTGTGTGTGTGTGTGTGTGTGTGTTATGGTTTCCAGGGTGACAGGGTGATTCTTGGTGGAGACCACTACTTCCGCTTCAATCATCCAGCAGAGGTGCAGTCTGGGAAGCGGGTGTCATGCTGGACAGGCGCAGGCGATGGCCACAAAGATTTTGAATTTGCCAAAAATGAGCTACTTGCAGCTCAAAGGGCTCAGTGAGTGCAAAATACCAGATAAAAAAAGTTATATTATTATGTCAACCATTCTGGCCTTTTTAAAAATGTTTATTCAGGGCAACATCTATTTGTGCAGAATCAAACCCAGAACTCTCTTAAGCCGTATCTGTGTGTCGCAGGCTGGAGGCAGAAATTGAAGAAGCCCATTTGAAGGCGAAAGAAGAGATGATGCAGGGAATCCAGATGGCCAAAGAGGTTGCCCAGAAGGAGCTATCTGACCAGAGGGCGCTCTATGAGGAAAGGATCCAAGACCTGGAGAGAGAGCTGGTACGCAAAATGTTTAGCTGTAGTGCCATTGGAGTTATTGGGAGTCTGTTTGAATGACGGTGTTACCAAACTGATAAAACTTTAATCAGAAATTTAAAACTACAAATATATTTTCTTTAAACTTGTGTAATACAGAATATTGCAATATTATAGAAGTACTTTGTCACGTATAATCTTTTGCTTCTCCTTAAAACCTGGCAATTTGCGCAACCAATACTAAGTAATGCCAAAAAACAATTTATTCAGAACGGGGAGAATAAGCGGAAGCGTCAACAGGAGTTGGACCAGGAGAGGGTGGCCAGCCAGATGGCAGAGCTGAAAATGGCCAAGATGGAGCTGGAGCAGGAGGTGGACGCCCACAAGAAACGTCTCCGCCTGCACATGGAGGCCCAGGTCAGAACCAAGAGCAACTTGTGGGAATTTTAAAATTTAAATAAAAATTTAAGTTGACTGTTTTGGGGGGTGTGTGTGTGTGTGTGTGTGTGTGTGTGTGTGTGTGTGTGTAAGAGAGAGAGAGAGAACAGGGGCTGCTCCCAGTGGCCAGAGCTTGTGTGTGTGTTGAAAAGGTTTTATTCTTTTAAAATAATGGAAAATTACTCTCACGCAAACAAAGTTATCTATTTTGCTTTATCCTGCTGTCACTATCCAGGCGATGGAGGAACATCGTGTGCATCAAGCGAGGATTGTTGAGGCCCTGGAGGCGGAGAAGACAAAGATCAGCAAAGAGCTGGAGGAGATGCAGAAAAAAAGAGCCATGAGAGAAAATCATACTCTCCAAAATGGTGAGTGCTTCCATGTCACTTCTGAGCACACATTTGATTTAGGAGCCACAATGACAATTCACACCATAGAAGTGGTGTTGGGAGCGAGAGCAAGATGGGTGGGGTTCATTCTGTGTAGCCAGAAGCATTAAATTAGAGAGCGTTTGCCTGGACCTGAGATAAACGGTGGACTTAAGAGGAGCAGAGAAGGAGGCAGAGAGGCCATAGAACATATCCAATCTAATAATTTATTGTGAGATGATCTGCAACTCTCATATGGATAGTGCATGGTAGTTTTCTACAGTACCACTACACGCAATGTATATAAATGATTTAAATCTATTTTTTCAATAGAACTATCTTCAATGCCACCAAACAGTACAAGCTGTCTTTAGTATTTGTATTTTTTTTCCTTCTCCCAAATAGAGACATGTCCCTACAATACTTGATATATTTCACTCACGCCAAAGAGAGCAGGAAAGTCAAGGATTAGTTATTACTTTCCAGCCACATTTATAGCTGTCTGTGTTGCAGAGTCTGGCTATAATGCCGTTTCCTATTTCCATTTCATTTAGTGCCTGGTGTAAAGGGAGCGAGGCACCCTGAGCAGCATATTGGCAGTGATAAAGTCAAAGTTAGCAGCAGCTTAAGGTGATGTGCCCTAGAAGCTGAGAATTTAGTAGTTTATATTTAGAGTATAGAGAGCTGATTCTCACACTGACTGACATTTAAGAGTCACATGTGATATATTTGAAAATCACAAGTTACAGTAAGGATAATAGTATTTTTGGTACTAACTGTTCTTGTAGGCGTAACAAGGGTGAATCTCTTCCAGCCAGTGCTAACAAATCAGGCTGAAATAATGACCATCTAAGCCAGATGCTGCTTGACTCGGGACTGCGGTTGAAGTTGTTTCATTTCTATATTGCAGTCTCTCCACAGTGGGATGCCATGAAGTTGTCCCTGATGATTGAGGAAGCCAATAAGATCAGTGCAAAACTGAAGAAAAACACAGTCTTCAGCAGGTTTGAAAATACAAAATTGGGTCACACCTTACATATGATGATTTATTAGCCAAGTTAAAAACCTATAAAATAAACCTATTGGGGTGTCACATTCATCATAATATTTATTTGCATTTTCATTGCTTTCATTGCCGTCATTTTCAACAATTCAGTGGAACCAAAACATCAGCTGCAGGCCCTGTTGGAAGCAGGTATCCTCTTTTAAGATAAGCAAAAAATCATTTGACTCTCCTCTGTTGTAGACACGAAAGCTCAGATGATAAGAACCTGGAGCAGGGTGGTCTGCTACAGGTGCGCGTTCAAAACACAAAGCTGGGGATCTCCACTTTTTGGAGCCTGGACAAGTTCCAAAACAACATTGCTGCCATGAGGGAATTCGAGCAGGTCTGCCTTAAAACAGTTCTGCCTTTCAACTCATCACTTTTTGATCTAATGATTGTTTCAATGTCTTTAAGCACATTAAGAAGTGCATGTCTTGTTTAAGTATCTGGCACCATTAAAATCTTATTCTTATTTAAAATGACAATTAGAGTAAAACAGAGCTGATTCCTGATGTGGAAACAGGCTGGACCTTTGTAATGGTAGATTTGACCAAATTTTAAATAATCAAACACTGGGTGCCACAGTGGGGAGAACCCTCACGTCACATGAAGCCCCCTGTGTGGTTTAACAGTTCCCTCCACCTGTCTAAAGACTTGCAGATCAGATGAATTGGAAACTCCAATCTTCCATTACATGTGAATATTGGCTGCGTTTCACAGTCTTTCAGCCCATTTCATCTAAAATTACCTCTGATCTTTATGTAGAATAAGGGATACAGAGAATATATGGCTAGATAGACAGTTTTTATGGAATTGTATTGGACAATATTATTGGATATTGTGTATAGAATAAGAATGATTATAGACGTACTTATATCATAAACATTTCTACCCTTAAGGATCTCATAATGATGACGAATTTGCGATGAGAAGACTCATGATTGTGCTGATAAACGATGAACAACTACCAACAAAATGCTTGAAAATTCATGGCAAGCTTGTGCATACTTGCTTATTTAATTGGATCAGTGCTCTAATAAGCTGATGTATGATGCCTGTTGAGTGAAGCATATTCAACCAGCCAGCCTGTCTGTTCCTCATTCTGCATTTTCAGAGTCTGACATCAGCTCAAGTGCAATTGCCAATTCCCCAAGCGTTTGACCTTATTTACAGTCAAGAATGGGTTGTTTTACGCCTGACGGAGAGATGCTGCCTCACTTTGCTGCGTTTTTCTCATTAAGTTGAGTAAATGAGACTCCGCATGTCAGCAGTAGTTTACTCTCCGCAGGGGGATTCCACCTCAAAAGATGACGATGTGTTTTATGACCCTGATGATGAGTGGGAGCAAGATATATCGGCCTCCTCTGCTGCCACCTCCTCCTTCTCCCGCCGAAGGTAATTATCCAGCTCTTCCTCTCTCCTCCTATCCATCAATCCCTTTTTTCCAGCACTTGACATTTACTTAAGATTTCAGGGACTTAATTGGTATTCTTGTCCAATTACTTCAAATGTGTGTGCAGGCAAGCGTTCAAGAACACCTACAACGTGTTCCTGAGGGAAATACAGGACAGTCTCTCTGTAAAGTGTCCACCTGACTGTTGTTTACAGGGCCAGGGCTTGGATGGATAATTATTTTGCCTTTCAGTGTGTGGGTCTTAAACTCGCAGCCCTCATGCACAACTGAACTCACAGCCTATTGCACCATTTTAATGTGAACAATATGTCAGGCGAATGGATGCGTATGGAAAGTTGAAAGGAATGTGGATGGAACGTGGAAAATCTTTCTTTATTTTTTATTTTTTTGGTTATTTTCACAAAGTCCTCCTGTTTTCCCCTAATGTGTTTTACAACCTGGCACATATTTTTGACATTCAACACATCCTTCTTTCTCTCATGAAATGTTGATGTGAAGTTGCAGCCCACAGAATATTCCTCTCTTTATTCTTTTTCCTCTGTTTATTAATTTAATTTCCATGCCAGGCCAAGCAGTTTAGAAAAGCAACAGCCACTAATGGTCTGTGTTTCTCACTCTACAACCCAAACACGGAGCACCTGTGGTACATGCAGAACCCCCATCATTTTCCACTCACATTGTTGTTATTCTTGTCAAGCATGTTTATGGTGCTCCTGGTGGTGCCTGAACTACCAGTGGACCCAGCCAAATGAAACGTGGCACTGGCCGTGTGGTACCTTCATCCCTTCTCTCTCTGACTCCATTATACCCATGTCCAAGCCTTATGGCTATAGTCATAGCTGTTTATTGACCTTCCCTCCCCAATGTGTTTTAATTATATGTTTTTAAAAATGTATTAAGTTTACAGAGACAGTGCACATTGATAAACATTTCTGTAAATGTGCCAGTTTAGCCAGCTTGGCTAATATTTGACTGTAGTCCCTGGGCAGGTGTTATCACAATTACATAAAATACACTAAAACAGGAACAACAGTACTCATACATATAACAAGATACCTTTCACAAGGACACGTAAAATACTTTAAAACAAGGACAACAATATAAAAAAAAAAAAACATAACACAAAGCACTCTTCAGGTGTTTCTGAATAATTCAGACTATGGTCACACACTTGATTGTGTTTTTTTTTTTTAACCATGATTTTAAATTGAATTTAAATGAATACTATGTTTCATAATGTCTAATAACAGTTGGCAGACTATTCCATGTGTGTGTTTATTAAACCCTTTTTACATATGTTAAACATACATCTTTTAGATTGCCCTAACCATGTCCAGAGAGAGAGAGACTTTTTAAGTTTTTAACAACATTGGTTAGGACGACAAACTTACAGACAAACCTTGACCGGCACTGACTATACTGGATACTGTAATAATAAGCCTTTGAAAAAACACCACATTCATGTTCACTGGAGGACCAAGTCATTCTGAATAAGAGCATCAGCATGCCAAATAGTTGTACATGTACATATAAAATGTTGGCAGGGTACTCACAGGGGTTTGCTTCTGGTATGTTTGGTATCAGGAGCAGAAGCTTGTTGAAGAGCAGGAGAATCTCAGGGCGCCTCTACGAGATCCGGGTCCATCCGATTCAGAGCCTCCACAATGCCTACTCACAGTCTGCTGGTGAGGCACTGAAAAAAATTTCCTGAATAATTCCTGTTTTCTGACGTTATATTTTAAATATCCATTGTCATGTCAGACTTGTTTATTTTTTAAACTTAAAGTGGTCATATTATGCTCATTTTCAGGTTCATCATTTTATTTAAGGGGTGGTACCAGAACAGGTTTACATGGTTTCATTTTCAAAAAACTGCAGCCCCTCTTTTCACCCTGTGTGTTGAATGCTCCATTTTAGCTATGTAGTAATGCATCTCACTTCTACAAGATCTTTGTTGGGAGTTGCACAGGTGCAGTACCTAGTTGAGGCCTACTAGCAAATCAGAAGCAGAGTAGGGTGGATCGTGAAAAGCCTGTAAATACAGCTTCAGTTCAGCTGTAAATATGTTCCCCTTACCAGCTTAGCAACATAGGCTGAAGCAAGAGTTTCAGAGTAGTGAGTTAATCTGTAACAAATGTATCTTTTCATCCATAAAGTTAGAACTGAGCTCTGTCTCTACATCACAGAACATCACACAACTTTATGTCCATTGCTGCCTGGAAGGTAACTGTTTGGAAGGGAGAGGAGAGGCAGCAGGTGGACTGTGTGCTGCAGCTCAGAGTGTTTTTCCACTGTTGTTTTTGAGGGCATGTCGGACTAGTCGCTAGGCGATCATTATGATTTTGCTGTGACGTCACAGAGAACAAAAGGAAAAGGCTGGACTACAAACAAGCTGTTTTCAGGCAGTTCAGAGCAGTGTTTTCTGTGGGAGATGGGAACTCCCTTTGGAGTGGACTAGTCTTTTTCGCTTTGCAAACCTATTACATGCACAAAAAGGTATATAACTCAATAAAGGAGAGGGAAAAAGCCAGAAAGCATAATAGACCTCTTTAGGTCTTTGGATCTTAATGAGATGGAAATAGTTATCAGGAAAAATGTGTAGTGTTAACACTCATACAGTATTGAACTGTCCCTTTTGCTGTCAAGCTTTTGTGAGTCCCCACAGTAGGGGTGACAGGAGTGTTCAAATAGTTTTATCTGCATAAAATAATTGTCAATTTGTAAAATGTTACACAGATTAAAATGTTGGGAAAATAAATGAAATGATTAAGTGTCACAGTCGTTAAATAAAAAGGCCGGGTTGTTGCACTTGATTTTGCGAGAAATGTATTTTTACCAGCGTTGTAAGAATGTGGTCTAATGAGGTCATCTCTGCATACCCCAACTCTTCACTGTGTCTGCCCCAGGCTTGATGGGTGTGGTCAAACCGCCCTCCACCCATTCCGGCAGAGCAAACTTTGCCGTGCCTGGCATCTGCAAGGAGTTGATTGGCCAGTCAGTGGCCCGGCTGCGTGGTTGTAGTGCGACAGAAGAGAGCGTTGTGGACAGGCTGGTCTCTGATCTGCACCTGGTGAATGTGGCGGTTCAGATCATATCTGACCTATACAACGTCCTGGATGATGACAGCCAGGAAAATGGTGAGATTCAACTTAAAATTAAGTCTTTTAATCCTGAGAAGATGAGCAAGTTAATTAGTAGTCAGAGTTAATAGTTAATTATAGACAGGTAACAGCTAGGATTTTTTTTACGTATTATTTTTCTATGTAATTGTCAACACTGCACAAAAAACAAATAAAAATAGTTGATTGCTTTGGGATGAGATGCAAATTAAATACAACTACCTGTAATAAGAAAGTGTCTAACTAATTTGTACACTATTCTGAAAGGCCCATGATTACCTTCTTTCTTTGACTGATCTATAGATGTACTGTTATTATGTCTTTTTCTCCTGCAGTGTTTGTGTGTAATGTGGTGGCCCAGACGCAGCTGGTCAGGGCCACCACAGCCATAGAGAGTGCAGTGTTTGTTACAATGCAGTGGTTGGCCAGCATTAAGCCCTCCTCCGGCCTGCTCTACACCGTCGCTGAGGAACTCAAGAGCCAAGTCAAGAAGATGGGGGGATTCTTCCAGCTGCTCGTTCAGGTCGACACAAACAAGTACCACACTGCATTAAAGGCCATGCAGTGACACTATATTGTGCTTTTCATGGTATTAGCAGCATACACGTCGAGTGCAAAATCTGAACTGAAGATTTGTAAATTTTGCAGTTCGGACAGGGGGGGGGGCTAATCAAAAGGCAGAATGTTAATTGACGTGTCTTAGCTCTGAGCTGTTTGAGCCATCTATGGAAATAGCCAAGCGAAGGGAATTCTCAACCTTGAGCCTCAAACAGAACATGAATATATGGAAAATAAATCTAAATTCCTTACCAGCCTCGGCACCTAAACACACAATTTTCCTCTCTCGCTCCTGAGTTTTTCACACACACCCTTCAGACTATGTTGACTGCTTTTTTGGCTTGCTTGCATTGAATAACTGTTACATCAATTTTAATTCAACCTGTTTGTGCGGACTGTCGGGCTGAAAATGAAAATTTTCTGCCCTATTTTCTAGGGTTGTGAATCTGAGATCACATCAATGGTGACGGAGGCACGGAGGAAGAGCAGTCAATGCCTGGATGCAGCATTGCTTGCGCTTGGCCACCTTGCGGCAATGACGGGTATGCCACAGAATGCCGTGGAGGGGGCTGCCCAGGCCACAGGCAAGGTAACGCCACCATTAATACCACAGCAGCTGCTATCTCTGTCAAAGCTCTGGAGTCCACTGTAATCAAGCCTCCATTCCACTATACTGGAGAATGGAACATTAGCTGTGTGGGTCTCAGAGCATGGAGGATTTTAGGGGGTGGGGAATTGTTGAGCTGAATATGGATATGGCATGTTAGTCTGTTGATTTGCAAGTGCAGTGATATCTCATTATTTGGTGTAAAAGCATGGTAATGGACAAATGGTTAGATTTGTCTAAGCATTTAGTGTAAGAGGGGCAATGAAGAATAATAATAATAATAATAATAATAATCTTTATTTGTGGAGCACTTTTCAAAAACAAGTTACAAAGTGCTTTAACAAGTGTAAAGACAATAATACCCAAGAGACAATAATACAAAAACAATACAAGATAAAAGCATGAAAACATTGAAAAGACTAAAATACACGTTTAAGATAAATATAAAATTAGTAAAATACAATAAAATAAAAGGGATAAAATAAAGTCAAATAAGATCGGGAAAGGCTCTCCTATAATCCAGTGAAGGACAAAATGTTCAATTATATTGTGTTTTCTTCTGTTCAGTTTTATTAAACACAATGATTAGCATATACCTACACATTTTTGTATACATGTATTCATTTTTTAACTTTACCCTTTTCTTAAAGAAACAGGATATATCATAAGTAGTAACAACCAGCACGGATGAACTAAACAAAGAAACTGCCAGAAACTGTCCTACAGAAAATCCAATATAAAGAACTCCCAGTGCTGGAGACAATTTGCCTGACAGCTGATCTCTGGGAAATGTGTATTAAAAATGCCACAGTAATGATCAATGATAAAAAAAAAAATTATTATTGCAGATATGTCAGCATAGGCATGTCGGCTGATAAGTAACAAGAAATTGCAGTACAGAATTACCAAACTACGGAACATAGTTTGTCGACCACAGAGAGCTGACACGTTTATTTTTACACTGTAAAATGTACTGCCCAAAATGCGATTTGGTTGTGATTCTACAAACAAACAAAAAAATCTGGATGGTTTATGTTATGTAAAAGGAAATACTGTCAGCCGATGTATAATTTATCTTATTATATGATTACATTTTTTTTCAGCAATCACTTGTCATGTGTCTGCTGAAGGGGACCAATAAGGGCATCCGCTCTCTCTTAGAGGAGAGCCTCACCATCACCAGAGAAATGCTGAGAGAGGCTCAGCTGGCCTACCCCAGGACCCCAGTAAGAGATCATAACCTGGCTGAAATTGTATTTTAATCATCCTGTCACACAAGTTATCATGGTGACATGATTAGATTTTGTGTTGATAATTTACTCTCTGTAAAGGTGTAGGTAAATCTTCTTAAAATTAGGTGTCATCGCCACTGATGATTTGTCTCTGCCTACAGGTCATGCAGAGCCTGAAATCCAAGTCGCTTGACTTAGCCCGCGCTCTGCAGAGCTACATGCATTGTCATATCACGGTGAGTTTCAGCCGCACAGCATGCTACAAACTAGGAGTTATGGTGACATTGTAATAATGCTTCTAATGTCTTTTGAAAGTTTTGTTAAAATTTTAAGAAACTAAATCTTGATATTTGCTATTAAATAGTGTGTTGTGTTAATTGGCCTCCTGGAAATGTCATCAACTGGACCTTTTTCCTGGTGCCAATACGTGATATTCTGAACATCCGGTGAATTTCAAATATGAACTACTTTGTTGCATTGTGGCATTCCTTTTGCTGTGGGGTTGAGAAATGTATTGTAGAGGTAGTCAGACCTCAGAGAAAGGTGACATGATGAAGCTGTATTGTGATTACTATTAACTTAATGAATTCAAAAGGCTTGGAATTCAATTAATGAGAAAACCACACTAAACACCTCACATTTGTTTGTCAGAACTAAAGTTTTGTTTGTGTTGTTATTATAACCGCTTGTTGGTGTTACTATATTGTCTAAACCCTAACTCACCTTAAATAATTAATTTCCCTTTACTGTTTCATGGTCTTTCATATTCTATTTTGTTATTTAATTATAGATATAAACAAATCTGAACGTTGACATTGAAAATTGTCAAAATTAAAGAAGTTGATTGATGGCAGTAGCTATCAGCAGTCTGCAGCTTCATTACCCAAACAAGTATCAGTAGTTTTTGTAAACTGTGGTTGAAAGACAGTATGCACGCTCGGCAAAGCTTCCCTGGATATGTAAAGGTTAAAAACAATCTTCCATCTTGACACAGGCTTAAATGTTACAGATTAATGCCCACACCCACAGCTGTTAAACAGTTAAAGATGCCACTCAGCCTTTATTGCTCCTGTAAAGCTCAATGCTCTGTAGGCTTATCTCGCTGCAGTCGTCCCTTGGTGATCGTTCAGGTAATGAATGTGTTGAATGAAGTGGCATCAGTCACAGCTAACAGGCTTGTTTGCCGTTATCTTAGCTACACAAACTAGCAGTTTTTTTTCTTTTTTTTTTTCTATCTCGTTTATTTATTTTTTACGTTAAAACCAGTCATTGACACATATAGACGTGGGGGCATTTTGCTGCCCGCCGTGTTATTGTTGGCAAATAAACCTGAGTTATTGCCTGAAGCAGCTATTTTCATGTAACCAAGCACTGCACATGTGCGTGATTGTGGATCTAAACACATCTATAAATGTGTACTGTGCAATTTATTGGACCCAAAGATGTTGGACTTTGCAGCTCTTCCGAAAAGGGCGATGATTTAAATGTCGATGTAAATGGGGAGGAAGGAGCTTGTTCAAGGAATTGTCACTACAGTTAGTGGTCAAAGTGTGTGTGTGTGTGTGTGTGTGTGTGTGTGTACGCATGCATATATGTGTGTGTGTGTGTGTGTGTGTGTGTGTGTGTGTGTCATTTATGGAAAATGTGGGGACAGGAATTTGTATTTGCAGTAGATATAGAAGTTACATGTAGCTTAAAAGAGCTTATAATGTGTATAGAACTGTGTGCTGGTGTAAATTGCATGGCACATTTCTGTAATGGGAAGGAGGCTATTAGGTTTATGTCATAGAAATGGACACCTCACGATTGAAGCCCCATTCAGTCAGTGACATCATTTGCAGGTATCGGTCTGTTTTTCCATGCATCTGTGTTGGTTCTTGAAGTGGTATTTAGGCTACATACAAAATTGGAACTGAGGGCTAAAGAGCACTGCTTAAAATATCAAGACCAGTTGAGAAAATGGGGAATATTAAGATAACAATTTATTGAGTAACACTACCTCAAGCAAGCAAGTTACTGTTAATGTGTGTTTTGAGCAAAGATCTCAACACAGAGCTAATCTGTGGTTAACAATTGACTGTGTATTTTTTTATTAATGTGTATGGTTTCTGAAATTATGATCTTGGTGTGTTTGTGTTTTAGTGATGTAATTGTAAAATGTAGTACTGTTTATAGGCTCTGTCTTCTATTAATTTCTTGGGTGCATTCATGTTTTCAAACAGGGGAGGGAGACTGACCCAGAGGAGGGGGAGGCGGAGGAGGATGAGGAGGCCTCAGCTTGCCATTTGCAAAAACTGAGGACTTCAGCGATGAAGCTGTTCCAGCTGAACAAGGCCATCAGACAGCTGCATTCATCTCTGTCTACCGCCCTGCGAGGTGAAGCTTCTGACTTAACCAGCCTAGATGTTTAGCTGAAACTCTTACCCAGTGTAACTTGCAAACACCAGCAGTGTACATCCTTTGGGGGGGGGGGGGGAAGTGCTGGAAGTAACAATATGTCAAGGATCAAAGCAAATTGTTTTTTTGTTTTTTTTTCCTTTTACTATTTCAATTCTTAAGGATGCTTCTCTAAATGCTCAGTTATATTATATGACAACAAAGAGGCAATATTAGAAAAAAAGCAGATTTTTAAAACTGCATTATATTAAATTAAAACTAAATTATTATCAATGTTGCTTTTGCATCAAAGTATGTTGCTCTGTACCAACTTAACAATAACTTGATTTTAATGTCTATGCATTGGTATGTATAATGAACAGTTTAATGGGTGTTTTATAACTGCATTGGTGTGTCTCAGCCAATCAAATTCAGTTTAAAATGTGACATACAACTCTGTTTGTGTCTTCAACTATATAAATATATCTGACTGTCCTCCAGGAAAACACAGAGACTCCACCCTCAGCGGCTGCAGAGAGCTGATCTCCTCTGCCAAGGCTGTAGATAAGCTGATCACTGGTCTGTCCAAGGAAGGAGCATTGACGCTGTCCCTACAGCTTCCCAGTCTCCAGAGCGTCATGGCTGCACAAGACGAGCTCCAATCCGCCCTGCAGTCCCTGTCCTCCTGGAGCCAAGAGGGGCAAGGAGAGAGCAGGAGCTCTGCCACTTCAGAAAAGAGCACACAAGACAAAATTTTAACCAAAGAGAGCACTACCCCTCACAGTGCTGTTAGAAATCGAGTCGTGAGTAAGATAGTCTACACCTTCCCTCCAGATGTGTTGTCCAAAGGCAGCCCACACTGGGTGTGATGTGCATTTATACTATGTCATTCTTTAATAATGTGCTCGCATCATGTATGATTGTACTGTCAATATGAGAAAACTTTGAATTGAGCCTCCTGCTGGTAAGAAGAATTTTTCAAAACAATATAGAAACTTTTACTACTTCAATAAATTCACTTGGCTTGATTTGACAAGGACCCAAATCTTTTATATTGCATGTCACTATTGAGTAAACTGCAGACTCCTGGTAAAGACTCCGCCTAATAATAAGTTTTGAATGGGTCATGCAGCAGACACTGCACAGACTTCTTTAGTGTTGCCATCCAAGTTGATAAAATTATTTTTGTAATATCACATAGCACCAACTCTAATAAAGTGAATCTAATAAATATGGCAAACAAGTGGATTTAATATGTGGACGCTTCAAAACTACAGCGATAATTCCCATCATCATGTCACTTCTGATATGGTGTGAAAAGCAAGATGTGCTGGAGATTATTTCTTAAGTCTAGTAATAATTTGCTACTAAAAGCTTTAAAGGTATTTTGGATACATTTATTGGGACTTAAACTCTACACATGGTGGTCCCTTAACAGTGTCATTCATGATGTATAATCAAAATTAGTAACAGTTATTGGCTATAAAGAGAATGTTCACATATGCTGTACCAGGCCTCCTCTGTTGTACTTTATTGTTCAGAGGCCACTAAATTATTCTTTTTTTTTTTTTTTCATTTTATATGAATTGATACAGGAGGACAATATTGAGCAGCTCAGGTAGTGTTTTGTTAAAAAAATAATGAAGGGTTTTCTCCCTATTCTGTTGTACATAATTTCTTTCTTGTATAAAGGCATGATGTGTCCTCATTTGCATGAGGTTTCGCTCTTGTATGATGTATAACATGTACTACACCAATTAGCACTCCAGGAGAGACTGCTTTCACAAAAGAGTGTTTTATGTCCTTTTGGTATTGTGTATCACATGGTCAAGAAAATTATATTTCAAAACAATATAGAAACTTTTACTACTTCAATAAATTCACTTGGCTTGATTTGACAAGGACCCAAATCTTTTATATTGCATGTCACTATTGAGTAAACTGCGGACTCCTGGTGAAGACTCCGCTAATAATAAGTTTTGAATGGCACTGGAATACAGTACAGTCTGCATTGTAAGTGGGGAAAGGTTTATCAAAAACATTCATATACACATTCCTTAAATGTGCTACCTTGTAGTGAATTAAAAATGATTATTTGACATGAGTCAACAGATTTACACATACAGTTTCACCTTGGCATTCACACCGTGTGAGATATTGGTCTCTGTTGTAGGTGGACGGAGAAACCTGCAAAATGATCTTTCATACATTAATTTCCCTATGTTGTAAATGTAGGTACTCCTAATGGCAGTGGATTGCCCGCTGGTCCATGTTCCCTATCTTGGGAACTAAATCAAACTCAAGGATCCCAAACTTTTGGGAATTATGTCTTGAGCTCCCAGTTTATACACTGCATCCATTACTTGATTGATGGATTCACATTAATTTGTGTATTTGTTATTGTACACGCCTCTAGATGAGACCTTTTTATATTCATACACATACATACATATATATTTATATAGTATATGGAGCAGACACCCTGCACCACACTGAAGGGCCACTGAATGTCCTTGAACCCTACTTTTGGAATCCCTCCTGTGCTCTGCTCGCTACACCCACTCCTCTGCAGCTTCTTCTGCATCCTCCCTTCATGTGCTCTGGAGCCAGCTACCGCCAGGGTTCCTCCGGTACTGTAGTGACGGACTGATAGAGTACAGCTGAGAAGAAATACGTTGAGCTACTGTACACTTACTCAAAACGTCTCTGACTTAGTGAAAAAAGAAAAAAACACGACGCTTTAAGGAGTCGTTGCATGCTGCGTTCAGACACAACGCGACTGGAATGAGAAGACGCGCAAAAAAAGTTTTTAACAAGACTTCAGGTAAAACTACCCAAATAGTTTTTCTTTTTATGTTACACCATAATAATGAATCATATTACGATGAAATTGCTTTCCATTCTTAGCTAATGAAGGTGGGTTTTTTTTCAGGATGCACTGGTTATTGTTCCCCAATGTAGGGCTGCTTGTAAGTACTTAATCTTTGTAATTACGTTTTCACTCCTGTCGGGTATTTTAGACAAACACACGTCGACTTTTAACACACAGATGGTGAAGCTTTTAACTAGGCAATGTGTTTTCAGAGTTTTGCAAAACGCCCATATCCCAATAGCTTCCATTTTCTTGACTAATTTCTCTGTGAAATTAGGCTCAAAAAGCAATGAGGCTCACCGTGTTTGTGTGGGATGTACTGGTTGTGAAAAACCAAAAAAACATAATAATTTGATACTATGAATTCATTGTTTATGTCGTTATGGATGTTTTTCCTGTCTTTATGAATGTTTAAATATGCCCTGTGATCAAGTGAGTTTCATTTCGCTTCATTGCATTAGTCATTTGTTGCAGTTTAAATACTGTCTTTTGATTGGCTATAAAGTCAATCAAGATGATACATTAACGCATTCATTCTTTGCAGTGTAAAGTTAGTGCATAAAGTAGAATAGCAGGCAATTAAGTCATCTTTAATGCTACAGGCACAGGTATAGCTCACTGTTTAAATGGATTCAGCATAATACAAACATTCATTAATTGATAACCAACGTTTTTTTAAAAACATTTATGTAGGTGCGCAAAAGTATGGTGCGTTAGGGCTTGGCAGAGGAAATGCAGGTGTTCTTGTCACCTGTTGTGTTTTCTCATACTAGTAAATAGTCTCTGTTGTGTGGCTTCATACCTTCAGCAATATGCTAAACCTAAACTTATGTTTCAGGTTTGTTTTCACAGCTATATATCAGGTGAGTCCGTTCCTATTTATCTTTTCAGTTAAACACCATTTCATTTAAGATGGTAAAGTTAGACCAAGTTGCTAACCTAGCAAGTAACTTGAGCCCGAAGTTAGAGAGGCTAACTAGCATACATGCTTAAGTGCTTCAAAGAGTTGTCATCCAAATTAAGGACTTTCTCACATAACTTTACCACACTTGCCTGTCACAGTTGAGTATAAAGGATGAGATATTTACATCATCATGTGGCTGGTGGCTGTGTGTCTTAGGAAATGTGTTTCCATCCACCTGTTTTTGAATGGAAATGTATTATTGTTATTTTATTTTAATTTAAACAGTGGCACTGCTCTACCAGAGGTGTTGGTTATAGCACGAAGTCCCAGAAATGATCTAAACAGGATTAAAATGCCTTTGGGGTGTCTGAATCAAACAAAACACTGTAGCAATTTCATTCTTTTTTTAGCAGATGTTGAGAGGTAGGGATCTCTCCCTTAACTTCTTTTTTCTTTGTTTAACAGCCAGCACCCTTACATACAATGAGTCCTACTATGAGTATCTGCCTGATAACCTGACATGGAACAGTGCAAGGGAGCTGTGTAACAAGCGCTCTGGGGCTTTAGCCGATGTCTCCAACACAATAGAGAACCAAGAGCTAACCAGCTTTTTGATATCCTTGAACATCTCTCAGCCTGTGTGGATAGCCGGGAAAGTCGTGACGTATCATTCAAGTAGGTTCAGTGTGCCATTTGTGACACTTTATATTAACATGTTAGCATCCTGTCTTTTTAAATAATAGGTTCATTGTTTTTTATGTGCTGGACACCTTTCTGCACTCACTGGCTTAAAAAAAGGGTATCAATATAAAATTGGACTAACGATGCTGGCATACACCACTCTTAGCCATAGTGAAAACTTTTCCCCCAGTATTTACAGTAGGGATAGAACCACAAAGTGGAATTTTATAATTAGGTTCCATCTTTTCCGAGAACTGTGCCAGGATTTTCCCTTCATAGTAATGCCTTTTGTTCCCTCTCTGTGTGGGGTGAAACCAAAGGTTCCTCCAAGACCCTGATTCTGGAGTTCACCGGCCGCTCGGACAGGAAGCATGCCCGTCTCCTGCACAAGTTCCCCTCCATGGGCTCAGTGACTGTTTGCACCCATCTGCGCTTTGACCCAAATTGCTTCGGAATTTCCACCATATTCTCTTATTCCATCCAGTCATATATTAATGAGTTCCAGCTCCGCGCGAACTTGATCCAGGGCAAGCCTGTGCAGCTGGCTCTGCTGGTCCATGGCATTCATGGACCTTACCAAGAAGCTTTCGCCCATGACGACTCCTGGCACTCGGTGTGCGTTTCTTGGAGCCACAATGGTGGACGCTGGGTGCTATTTACTCATGGCCGTGAAGCCTCCAGGGGCGCTGGCTTAAACAGTTCTGATACCATTGGATCTGACGGCCTTTTCATTATCGGGCAGGAGCAGGACATCTTTGGGGGCTCATTTAAGAAGGATGAGTCATTCTCGGGGAGCATCACAGAGCTGCACATATGGGATCGGGTACTGTACAGCAGCGAAATCTACATCATGGAAATGCAGTGTTCACCCATTCCCTCTGGGCTGGTGTTCAAGTGGAGTGGAGCAGCCATGGAAATAGAGCCCTCCCTTACGAAACTATGGAGAGACAGCCCATGTCAAGGTATATTTGTTGCATGAGGATAGGGAAGAACGGAAGGGTTGCCAGAATCTAAATTAAGCTAATTAAATCACCAAGTTCAGGGGAGTTCAGGAATTAATTTACACCATAACAGTCAGAAGAGACTCCAATATATAGTTAAGCATTACTTTCATACTGTTTACAGTTAAGCTAATTTGGAACTAGGACTGGGTGGGGTTGCTATGCAGAAAATAATAATCACATAGAGACTATTTGAAAGTCATTTTGGCCTACTCACTTTTCAGTAACATGCCAAGATGTGAGCTGGCCTGATGTGCTAAACTGCATTCCAATCATTGTAAAACAACTGCTATGAATAAATTGCAGATAAAACTGGACTTAAATTTAATCTATTTCTGCTCCATCTTCCTCTACACCCATGCTCCTCTCATCTCTCTGATCAGGCCCAAATCATGATGTAATTTACATAGATGTTGGTTGCAGCATGAGGTCAAAGTGCGAAACTATAGGACTGCAAGGATATAATTGCAGAAGACCAAGATCAGACTAAGAAAATCTCTGATCTATATCTACAATACCCCAGTGTTTCAAATTTATTTTGGAGCTTCTCTCCAGCGCATTCACTGTCAGCTTTTCAAATCAGTCTGCACTTTTCACTGGATGACCAAGAAATGAATGAATTGGCGCGCAGGTATTCTGATCCAGGATATCCCTAATCCTTTCTCAATTTATGGCATGCATTGGCAAACTTACATACACACAATAAACAAACACACACACTCACTTTTCTTTTCCTTTAAACACTACTGGAAGTTTAATGACATTGAAGGAAAGTGGAAATCTCTGTCTCTCTTGCTGTTTCTCTCATCGTTCACTGAATAGGGGAGATGGTGACCAAGTTGTAATTGGCAAATGTTAGGGCTCCTAATGGTTCTTGTAAATGTTTTGTGACTCACGTCACTCTGAATCCCACCCTTCAAAACACACTTCTCCCATTCTGACATCATGCTCCCCAGTGAGCAATGAGAGTCCAAAACACTGACTCCACCTTCTGGAACTGGGCATGCAGAAAGGATAGTGTGTTTGCAGTCCTCAGTGATTTTCAGTTACAGTGTAGGAATTAAATTGCCTGTCTTTTAAGATTAATTTACAGAGTCATGGTATGTGTACAGTAGCTGTTGAAGGACTAGCTGTTGCCAAGATTGACCCTTCAATCTTTCAGTTATAGGACTGGATACAACATGGCAGTGCCTGGTGCCCTTTCAAACTCCTATAGTTTTATCTTCCTCTTTCTCAACAGACCAGTTCAGTCATACACATATATGCTACACTACTCTTGCAACTGATCTTCCATAGATTCAATCATTGTAACAGCTAGTCTTCTGGTCAAATCAGTTTCTTCCTAAGTGTCCTAGACCAATGTCCTGTTATCACACAACAACACCAAGGCATTTAACTAAAAAAAACACACACATTTTACTTGTCTGTGACATAGATCTT